TATTAGCAGCTTTTAATGTACCAACCAAGGAAAAAAAAATACTAATAATATTGTGTTTAATGCGAAGAAGGAAATATTTTAAATTGTACATTTATTCTAGGGCGTATGCGCATGCTGAAAATGAATAAAATAAGCTGAATTATGGTTTTTAAAAAATAACTGCAAAGGTGGAGAATAGTTATCAGAAAAATGTAACTCTTTTTTCTTAAATTTAGTTATATTTTGAATCAGCTCGGTAAGCTGATCAATTCAAAATAAAATAACTAAATTCGAGAAAAAATAGTTACATTTTTTTATTGATTAATTTATTGAAGCTTATGATTAGTGATTAGTTTATTTATTTTTTTATAAATGACCCTTCTCATAATTTATTCGATTTTCATTTAAGTTTATATAAACAACTGAAATAATAAATAAATTATTTGCGTGGATATATTTTATAACCGTCGTTGAACAACTGATCCAATTTTTTGGGTTTACGACTACCAATATTCGACTCCGTCGTTTTGTAATTTTGAACCCAATCCAAAGACAAGGGAACACCTAGATCAAGTGCAGGGAGAAATTGCCCTCGTGTAGGACTTCTTATGGAACTGATCAGCATTAGCGTTACACGGAGAGGAAAACCACGAAAACATCCCATGGTCAGCATGTCGACAAGGGGACTCTTACCCATGATCCGTCAATCAAAGAGGATATTTCATGTCCGCGCTGTGGCCGCCTCAAGCCGGAGGCGAAATTCGTATCAACCTGCCATCGCTGAGATTCGAATCCGGCAGTAATTTTTTCATGAACTCTATGGTCTACCTTTTGGAAACGGCTTTACTGTACATGATAAAAATTCGCGCGTAGCACCAAAAAAAGAAAAGAAAAAAATGGAAACAAAGCACCAGGAAAAAAGCACTTCATTCGCTCATATAAAAATGTGACAACCAACAACCAATTCAGGTTATTTAACCTGAGTTTAGTAATTAAATAATTATTCGAATATAAATAGATATTTCTTAAGAAATAATTTATATACAGTCAGACCTCGATAATTTGACACTCGCTTAATTCGTCACTCCGGTTATTTCGACGCTTTTTTTCAAGTCCCGATTGATTTGCATTGGATTCAGTGTTAGCAAACTCCGTTTAATAAGTCATGGTTAGGACTGGGCTATAAATCGATGTATCGAGACATATCGATTTAACGTATATATCGGCAAGACGATACAGCGACTTTCATTCAAGGCGATGCATCAGAAATCTGATTTAAGCCNATAAAATGACACTGTAAAGAATGTTTTCACTGGGAAATTGCTTTTCTCCAGTCAACTTTTGCGGAAATTTCCACTTGGCGTGTTTCGACCTTCGAAGACGTTGAAAATGCCCTTGTTAAATGGTTTAGAATGGCCCGAGCCCAAAACATTCCAATTTCAGGACTTATCTTGAAAGAGAAAGCTTTGCAATTTGCAAACGAATTGGGTGTTTCGGAGTTCTCGGCGAGCAACGGCTGGTTTGAATGGTTCAAAGAGAGACATGGACTTTCCTTCAAAAAGATGTGCGGAGAAGTCGTTGATACGCGTCCAGTTGAAGAATGGAAAAATGATCTCTTAAAAGATGTTCTCCAGCGTTATAACCCTTGTGATGTATTCAACCTTGATGAGACAGGTCTCTTTTTTCGACTTGTGCCTGACAAGACTTTGACTTTTCAATCAGAGGGCTGCTAAGGTGGGAAGAAAAGCAAACAACGAGTTACCGTTCTGTTAGGAGCAAACATGGATGGTTCCGAAAAACTTACGCCTCTGGTCATAGGCAAAAAGTCAAAACCAAGGTGCTTCAAAAATGTGAAGTCTTTGAGTGTATCATATGAAGCAAACTCAAAGTCTTGGATGACCTCCAATGTTTGGGAAAAAACTTTGAAAGAGTTTGACAAAAAATTCCATGCAACAAATCGTAAAGCAGCGTTTGTTGTGGACAATTGCACAGCGCATACTGAGGTAAGAAACCTTCCATCAGTGGAGTTAGTTTACATGCCGCCCAATGCCAGTTTTACAGCCCCTTGATCAAGGAATCATTTCCAGCTTCAAGAGACACTATCGGACTCATCTCGTAAGAGACTGGATTAAAACCATTGATGAAGGCAGAGAATGGAAACTAAATCTCTTAGATGGTATAAATTACATCCACAGGAGTTGGGCTGATGTGACCAATAAAACCATCAAACACTTCTTCAGGCATGCTGGATTTGTTGAAAGTCCTAGCTCGTCAGAAGATGTTAATGATGATGAATATGATGACGTCCCCTTATTTGAATTGCTCAGGCAACTTAAAAAACGCAACAAAGATGTGATGGATGAAGAAACATACCTTGGAATTGACCAAAATCTCGTGACATCTCCAGAACTAACCGTCTCGGAAATCGCGAACGAAATCCGTGAAAGACACGTTCCAGCATCTGAAGAGAGTGATTGAATTCTAATTTTATAATTATCTTCTTTTTTCACTCTGAATACTATTCAGACTTCATCTTCTGGAACAATACTTTTCCTTCTGTTGTTTTGTNAGGTTTGCGTATTTTATTCATTTTTTTAAATCATTTAGCACTTCGTTTTATAAGAGAGCATAATAATTTTTTTTAAAAAATATTCTTTTCATATTATTTGCTAATTAGCTAAATATATTATCGAATATCACAATTTTTTTACTTTTAAATAATTAAAACTTACTTTGTTTTTCGTTCATAATTCGGTCATTATTTAATTTAATTTACTTATTTATCTGAAATGATAAGGTCCCGCAGTGGACTGATCATTAAGACACGGTTCCTTGCAGATCACCGAAGTCAAGCATCACTGGCTGCGGTCAGTGTGCGGGTGAGTGACCACTTGGATCAGTCTGCGTAGGGACCGAGGGTGTGCGGTATTTGTCCTCGTTAAACAGTTCTACCGTAAAGTGCTCGACTTCGCGTGCAGGTCGTCGCTCTGCCGAAGCGGGGGTGCCATCCCATCTGCAGAGGATCAAAATTGTAATGGCATGTCTTCGGATCATCCTCAGGGACGTTTCCCAGACCGTCGCCAATAGCCCAATGTGCAGCTCTAGTGTGACGTAAGTGAACTATAACAGAACTATAATAACTGAAATGATAATAATAAAAAATAGTGTTTTGAAAGCGTTTTTTTTCTAAAATTTGTTTAGCACTTTGTTTTAAACATACAAAT